CCGTGACCTAATTCTTCACTGTCTCAATTAAGCCGACTCAGCAATTGTTATCTCATGTTTCCAACTAATGTTGTTCCCTTATAGCCTTGGAGCTAGTTATTAGTATGCTTGTACATTGACCATACATTGTTGTACAAAATACATTCAATATCAACTCTTAATAAAGTCTCAATGTCGAATCCGTACATTTAAATATTCAACTATTTCTATGGACAAGTGATAGTTAATCTCTAAAAGATATCGCACTGTACCTTAAAAGACATTTGAGAAATGCAGTTATTGGTCATCGTATTCCGTGTAAAAAATCACAATTTGTTTCCCTCTCTGCCCTCGTTTTATACGCTGCACTATTCATAGGTTCACTTCAAGAAGTGTCTCCATCCCCGTGCTCGTGGATTTCACCGAAGTGGTAAACCTCTGAGACCTGCATCACTTCGGGCTTTCCTCACGAATTAAGTTGACACGCCGTGATATAATTGGTATAATGGTAAAAGCGGCGTAAAACCCAACCCACTCACTCACTCACTCAAGCAGTGTGTGCTTTAGTTTCCGTGGAAACGATAAACTAGTCTTAAATTTTATCCTCTTCTTAAAAAAAAAGAAAGAACAGTTTCTCTCTTTTTTCAATCACTTACCAAATTCGTAAACCAGCTGAGTGAGTGAGTGAGTGAGACAGGTTGGTTTAACACCGTTTTTAGCAAGATTCTAGCCACGTCACGGCGGAACGATCAAAGAAAGGTGTGTCTGTGAATGCAACACGTGATAAAATTAAGATCTAAAACTTAATGTACAATTTGCGATAAGATTACGAAAAATCAGTAAAACCATCTGTCTACATTAGTGTCCCAACTCGATATTGTTTGTCGTTTGTTTCCTCAACAAATCATTTTTGTGATTGAGTTTAACAGTGTTACACTGAATTTGCTGGCGTCGTTTTCTTCACTCAATTAGTGCGTCACAGGCCACTTTCTTCATTTATAATTATAAAATTATTAAAATGATTGAGAAGAAGAAGAAAAAGAATCTGGAGTTCAGAGCTGAACGTTCGCAATAAAGTCAAAGCCACAAATACTTATGCTGTACCCATCCTTTGGTGTTCTGTTGGCGTTGCTGACTGGACGAAACAATAAATTCAGGGTATTGACACAATAGATTCCAGCACAATCGCTCCTCCCTCAATCGCTTATATTTACCAATTATAATGGGAGGGCGTGGTTTAATTAACGCAGAGGCTCTTCATGATAGAATTGTATTGTGCAATTTTGCACACGATTATTTGTCTGATGATCCTCTTGTGAAGCACGTCATAACTGATGAAAACAAGGCATTCCACAGTTTCTTTGAACGAGACAAGGAAGTGGGATATAATCTCTATGTCAATGTTGATTTTGTTGATGGTTCTGTACTGCTGGACGCTTACAGAAATCAAAGTCAACCAAGCGAAGTGCCATTTCAAATCGGCCCAGATTCGGTTTTTCAAGGAGTGGCTATCTGAACGACCACTGCGTCGAATTTAATTGCAGTCCTTCTTTTGGATGAAGTCGGCTGGCCTGAAAAGTGAAACAGAAGGGTTTCTGTGTGCTGCTCAGGACCAGTCACTCCCCACTCGAAACCGTCAATGTGTGAATTTACATTGAAATGTAAATAGGAAATGTAGATTATGCAATGAATTTAATGTCACACACATTGTCAGTGGATGCCCAGCTTTGGTACAAACACAGTATCATAAGCGACAAGATGGAGTTGCTCATCCTTGTATTGCCGTCTTCGCCATACTTGTGGTTTTGACACAGAGGTCCATCCATTGTACGACCCAGAATATGTAGAGGGTGTCATGGAAAATGATAAATACACAATTCTTTGGAATAGGCCCGTAGACAGCCTCAGACCTCTCCGGACCAACAAACCTGATCCTGTCCTTTTTGATAAATGCAATGAAATAATATATACCATTTCAGTCGGAGTTTTCGCTCCCTTTTGATACTAATGTGGTTGAAAAGATTCAGGAAAAAACATGCAAATATGCGGATCTTGCTTCCAAAATGTCACGCTGCAATCCCAAGTACCGAGTTGTCCGACTCCCCATGGTTCTCGGTGCCTTAGGTTTGGTACCCTCCCGATCTGTTGACTGACATTGGTAGAGTACCCGGGTTTGCTACCAGGAATACAAGCCTTTTGACAATCTGGGTTATGCAGAAGTCTGCAGTGTTTGCGGAGTCTGGGTGGATTCGACTAGGCACCGCTTCCTGGGAGAAGTCCCATTCGCTGTCTGGGCTGCGTGTAGAGGGGGCAATGGTCCTGAGCTGATGATGAGCGTAACCAACCTGACTGAACCCTCTTTGCTGAATTTATTTATTTTAATCTGAAAAATAATAATAATTTGCATAATAATAAAGCGACAAATCCCCACACTAAAGCATGCTAAAAGTACTTCTGTAACAATAGTACCCCGATCAATGGATCAGTCTGCACTCGATTTTCTTTCTCAGCTCAATCATCCTACACGTGTATGTGCTTACCTTGTTCATAAGCTCGAAGAACGCAGTGTCAAGGTCCCGTCTCTGGTCATGCGTACGAATCCGAAATTCGACCCGATTATGATACCTGGCTTGCCCGCACCTTTCTCGTGAAGGCGAGTTTCACCAGTGTTGTCCGTCCATGGCCTACAGCGAGGGCCTTCGTGCTTGACGTGCTATGGGTAACGATTGGCCCAGTCTGGTCCTTCCTGCGTGACTTGCTATGGGCAACAAGATGCCCAGTTTGGGCCTTCCTGCTTGACTTGCTATTGGCAACGAGGGGCCCAGTTTGGGCCTCCCTGCTTGACTCGCTATGGGCAACGAGGGGCCCAGTTTGGGCTTTCCTGCTTGACTTGCTGTGGGCAACGAGGGGCCCAGATTGGGCCTTCCTGCTTGACTTTCTATGGGCAACGAGGGGCCCAGTTTGGGCCTTCCTGCTCTCCTTGCTGTTGGCAACGAGGGCCCAGTTTGGGCCTTCCTGCTTGACTTGCTATTGGCAACGAGGGGCCCAGTTTGGGCTTTCCTGCTTGACTTGCTATGGGCAACGAGGGGCCCAGTTTGGGCTTTCCTGCTTGACTTGCTATGGGCAACGAGGGGCCCAGTTTGGGCCTTCCTGCTCTACTTGCTGTTGGCAACGAGGGCCCAGTTTGGGCCTTCCTGCGTGACTTGCTGTTGGCAACGAGGGGCCCAGTTTGGGCCTTCCTGCTTGACTTGCTATGGGCAAAGAGGGCTCAGTTTAGGCCTTCCTGCTTGACTTGCTATGGACAACGAGGGCCCAGTTTGGGCATTCCTGATTGACGTGCTGTGGCAACGAGTGGCCCAGTTTGGGCCTTCCTGCTTGACTTGCTATGGGCAACGAGGGGCCCAGTTTGGGCTTTCCTGCTTGACTTGCTATGGGCAACGAGAGGCCAAGTTTGGGCCTCCCTGCTTGACTCGCTATGGGCAACGAGGGGCCCAGTTTGGGCTTTCCTGCTTGACTTGCTGTGGGCAACGAGGGGCCCAGATTGGGCCTTCCTGCTTGACTTTCTATGGGCAACGAGGGGCCCAGTTTGGGCCTTCCTGCTCTCCTTGCTGTTGGCAACGAGGGCCCAGTTTGGGCCTTCCTGCGTGACTTGCTATTGGCAACGAGGGGCCCAGTTTGGGCTTTCCTGCTTGACTTGCTATGGGCAACGAGGGGCCCAGTTTGGGCTTTCCTGCTTGACTTGCTATGGGCAACGAGGGGCCCAGTTTGGGCCTTCCTGCTCTACTTGCTGTTGGCAACGAGGGCCCAGTTTGGGCCTTCCTGCGTGACTTGCTGTTGGCAACGAGGGGCCCAGTTTGGGCCTTCCTGCTTGACTTGCTATGGGCAAAGAGGGCTCAGTTTAGGCCTTCCTGCTTGACTTGCTATGGACAACGAGGGCCCAGTTTGGGCATTCCTGATTGACGTGCTGTGGCAACGAGAGGCCCAGTTTGGGCCTTCCTGCTTGACTTGCTATGGGCAACGAGGGGCCCAGTTTGGGCTTTCCTGCTTGACTTGCTATGGGCAACGAGAGGCCAAGTTTGGGCCTTCCTGCTTGACTTGCGGTCAGTTGACCAATTGACTTGCCTTTGCATCTGTTGATACTTCGTATCATCACTGTTTGAAGGTGATTCATAAACACATGCTCACGATACAGTCGGAATCGTACAGTCGACTCTGCTTTTGGCAGATATTTCTGATGACAACAGAAATTTATTAGGAGAGTCAGGATCTGCTGTTTGTTGGTTTGAATGCCAGATTCGTCTCTGCCTGAACGCAAATACTTTTTATCATAAGAGTTTCTCTCCATGGCTAAATGTTTCTGTCCATTTCTGTCAGGAGAAAGGTTAAAGCCCTACGGCTGAGGCGCTGTATAGTATTTTAATATATCGAATTTGTTACATCGTTTTTTTCACCTCAAATAATTACGCACATTTGAAATACTAGTACCTCATGCATTAGTCATATAAAGATCAGATGACAAGCACTAACAAGTAAACATATGTGTAAGTTAAAGTTAAATTGCAAAATATTCAGTTGAACAAGTATAAAGTACATAACGTATTGTGCAATGTGTAATTTCTTTTAACTGAGAATTCGTTTCCTATCGCCCACGGAACATGTATGGATAGCTGACCCATTCACAAATTGCTTCATTGAGAAATATCGGTCGTAATTTGACAAGGGCGACACTGATAACCTAACTTTTACAGACGGTACCATATTCGACCTGAAGGGGATCTGGACTATGCAATGTACTTTGATATGTCTTAATGCATCTGAATAATCCAAACTTGGGATATTAAAGTAATACATGAATAATATTTTTAAAAATTTATGTTCAAATACAAGATTTTATCAACACATTATAATAATTATTATAATAATATGTCATATAGTCACACGTGTGTAAGGAACCACTTCCCTTTAAACACAATGGATTAACCCAAATGTATGCGTCACATGACGATGGGTTACTATAAAAGACTCTCAGTCTGAGAGGTCAGCATCATCACCAGAAACTACTGGTTTGATCATGTGGGCGATCTTTGCGTTGTTTGTGGTCCCTCTTTTCTTTGGGGTAAGTCGTAATTGTCTATGTATCTTTGTTTGACGTGATGTCACAGATGGCCTTAATGGTCTATGATTGTATCGCAATGCGTTGTGCAGAGTTGCGTACCCTAGCCGTGTCGGGAACTGCTAGTTCGAATATTATATTCGCTCTGAATACAGTCACCAAATTATTAGCTCCTGCACCGTGATGGTTATACAGCTGAGAATACTGTTACTGCGTGATAAAATGTGCCGGACACGTTATGATTGACGGGCTGTGTCGGACACGTTATGATTGACGGGCTGTGCCGGACACGTTATGATTGACGGGCTGTGCCGGACACGTTATGAATGACGGGCTGTGTCGGACACGTTATAAATGACGGGCTGTGTCGGACACGTTATGATTGACGGGCTGTGCCGGACACGTTATGATTGACGAGCTGTGCCGGACACGTTATGGATGACGTGCTGTGCCGGACACGTTATGAATGACGGGCTGTGTCGGACACGTTATGATTGACGGGCTGTGCCGGACACGTTATGATTGACGAGCTGTGCCGGACACGTTATGGATGACGTGCTGTGCCGGACACGTTATGATTGACGGGCTGTGCAGGACACGTTATGACTGACCGACTGTGCCGGACCCGTTATGAATGACATTCTGTGCCTGCCATGCTGTGCCTTACGTGCTGTGCTTGACACGTTATGCTTGACATCTTTGTAGCCCTAAGACATTGTTTTGATACGCTCAATATGTGTTAAACGCCAGTGACATAAAACGTACCTCCACCACGATCCGACTTTAATTCAACACAATCGGTTTTTGTGTTTATTCAGGACAGTGCGAACCTCAACGCTTTCTACTAATTATAGCAATCAATTACGTTTCAAACTAGTAGTTGTAGCAGTAGTAGCAGTAGTAGTAGTAGCCACAGCAGCAGTAGTAGTAGCATTATTACTCTGTGCGCATATACATCGCAGAACTTTCCGAGCAATACCGATCATGTTCTTGTACATATTATTTGTTACGATACATCTTATGTCTTTAAATAATATCGTGTTCTATTTTTCGGATTTCGGATTAAAAAAGTGTGTATATGTTTATGATTGAGTAGGTCGAATATATATATTCGCTCAATCTATGACAAGTTTGCGATCCTACTGGTAAACTGACTTTGTATGTGAAATATACTCCGGCTTATTCTGTTGTGATTGCATTCCAGGGGACCCTGTCATCAATTGGTAAGTACCATATTTCAATAAGACATTAGCTAACCCATTCAGTGTATATACATGTACAAGTGTGTGTTTTAGTACATATAGCTTACAAGCTTCAATGACACACGACCGCCTCCGTGGTCTAGTGGTAGAGCATCCGCCCGGAGAGCGGAAGGTCCGGGGTTCCATCCCCGGCCGCGTCATACCAAAAGACGTTAAAAGATGGTACTTGTTGTTACCCTGTCTGGTGTTCGGCATTTAGGGGCTAAAACAAGGACTGGTCGGCTCGGAGTCAGTATACTGTGTCTGAGTCGGGTATTCATGTTAAACTGCGGCATGGTATCTCAGTGAGCTAGCACTATAAATCTGCATCAGTCCGGACTAGCACACACACACACACACACACACACAGACACACACGTGCATGCACGTCGCTATATAAATGCAATAATCTTGGACGCGACGTTAAAGCCAATTTCACCTCCCCTCAGTGACACACGGGTAGCCTGGTAATTTAAGGACCAATGCGCTCATTCCTTGGTTTCCCCAAGGTATCCACCCGGTGTCGGGTAAACATGCCCTGTCGGTACCACCCGTTCAGTGAGCCTTTGTGAACAAAGGACAAGGTATGAAGACGAGCCTTTTCGCCGAGAAGACTCGTCTTTTACGCCGCACTCAGCAGTATTCCAGCTATATGACGGCGGTCTGTAAATAATCGAGTCTGGGCCAGACAATCCAGTGATTAATATCATGAGCATCGATCCACGCAATTGGGATCGATGACATGCATCAACCAAGTCAGCGAGCCTGACCACCCAATCCCGTTAGTCGCCTTTTACGACAAGCATAGTCGCCTTTTACATGACTACAGGTACGGTGCTGACAAATCTAGTGACGAACCTGGATTCGAACCCACGATCACAGGTTCCTGTCAGTCTTAAGGAACTCAGCATAGCTAATTGCAGCGCCTTAGACGACAGGACTACTCGTGACCTGCCTATTGTAAGAAATGAGTAAAGGGTTTAGGATAAAAAAAATTAATTTATCAGATTCAATGAATTCGAATTTGGTCTTTTCAAATGAATGATGAAATATTGCTGAACACAGCGTAAAACCATAGCGTATTGCTGCCATTGCCGTGAGAGATACCAAGCGTTTCGTAGGGACCAAATATACATGCCATTTATTGGTATATTTAAATTGTTAAATGTTAAGTAACCACTTGCACATTTTCCTACATGTTCATGCCAGCCATATTCATTCTTAGGTCTAGATTTGTGGCATTATCAAGTACAGACGTATAATTGCTAAAATGAATGAAAAAGCAGCATTATTAGAACTTCAAGATATAATATAACTATTTGATACGTGTCTGTGCCTACATATTTCCATAGAAAATCGGAAGACTAAGTATCAGAAAAGCACTTCCTGAAATATTGTTTTTAGCCTCGCCTCTACATGTGATACACGTAGTGAATCGAGTGAGTGAGTTGGGTTTAACACCGCTTTTAACAGTATTCCAGTTATATCGCGGCGTGTCATTTTAATCTGGGAGGAAAGCCCGAAGTAATGCAGGTCCCAGATGTTTACCACTCCGGTGAAACCCACGAGCACGGGTATGGTGCTGACAAACCTAGAAACATAATCGAGGCGAAGCGGGATTCGAACCCAAAATCATAGGTTTCTGGCGTGTCCAAGGGACGCAACTCTGCACAGCGAATCGCGGCGCCTCAGATGACTGGGCCCCCGTGCCCCAACAATAGATCGCTGCGTGTCAGCTTAATGTGGGAGGAAACCCGAAGTAATGCGACGCAACATTATCAGAATGTTAAACAGTATGATATGTATAATCATTCTATGACCCCTTGTAGTAAATCGAAAAAAACGGAAGTTTTGAAAAGAACAAATTCGAAGTCACTGAACCTGATAAATTTTATAAGAATTTCTAAGCCATGATAAAAGATGCAATGTTTTTCTTTCGTAATTACGTCAATAGTAATGATACGAGGCCGTCACAGGTTTTAAAATATGTTGTCTTATACTTTCTGCATTAACTCTAAGTACTTTAATTTATCATATAATGGGTAGGTTTCTCGGCAGGATAAAGCCAACGGATAAAAACGATATCCGTTGGGGTCATATGCGGATAGAGATGCAAATATCAAAGGTCAAGTAGGGACTACTTTCACTGTTTATAAACAAACATGGCGTCGCCCTTGTCATTCGGGGATCGAGTCAGAATTAACCATCGGGAATCTGGATAAACTACAGGGATAATTGCTATCATTATCAAAAGAACAGTCTAATGTACTGAAAATCTGTGTCTAACTGTGACGTAGCTAAGGCATTTTATAAGTTTTGTCAACTTTGGAGATATTAATTTCGAAACAATTTGGCGAAGGCACGAGGCCTAGCCAAGCGGGATCAGTAGCCATATCTGTGCTTGTAGACCTCTGCGGCTTGAAACCTCCTCCACAAATTAAAATAGTTGGATTTGGCGGAAATATGTTTGAATTGTTACCTTGTTTCGTTTTGTCGCTGTGTGTACATCTGACTACACTTCTTATTGTAGTGACAGGACAGACCGACTGTCAACAACGTCTGACCGTGGCCGTGACGTCTCATAGACTAGGGTTAGAGTAGCTTCCCTTTGACAAAGGGCAGTTACTCTAGCGGACAGACCGATGGATTGCCGCGAAAGGCAATTAAAAACAATTGTTGTTTTGCGTATATGTTGCTTCGCCACTGTATTAGAAACAGATTTCAGTCGGAACTATATTGGCTACTGTCACTGTCCGACTGACACTTCACTTACCCTGTGACGTAATAAATATTAATGCGCGCATTCCAGGAAAACTCGCAATGTTTCGGTAATGTTTGTGAGAGAGGGAAAGCGATTTTGAAGCACAGAATTAAAGAATGACATTATATGATAAAGAGGTTATCACGCTTGTGTGTTTGGGGATGGTAAAAATCCTGTATTAGGAATAAACACTATGTATTTAGCTCGCCAAGGCTCGCTAAATACAATGTTTATTCCTAATGCAGGATATTTACCATCCCCAAACACACTCGCGTGATAACCTCTATATATTCCTTCAACAGTACAAATAGGTTGGTGACCTGTAAATCCCCAAGCAGAGAAACGTTCGTCTATTTCTTTACTCATGTAAATATACTTCTCACGTGACTCTGTTATCAAATAGCCTGTCATCGATACAGCTTGTGTTTCAAGCCGAGTTGTATAGGAATCGCAGAGCATGCTGACTTGACATGGACTATGTCATGAAGTCATGTAAATATCATACATGTTAAGTATACAATTTATAGACACTTGAAACTCTCGTGCTTCTTGAAACCTGTACATTTCAGCATGACAGACCTCGAACAACAAACACGTGACTGCACACACCGTGCAGTTTATATGAAATCGTGCAATTTGCTTCGAATGTGAAAAGTGGAGTTTGTGCAATCTGCAGTGTATAGTTAGTGGAACTCGAGTATTTGCCTGTACTCTAAGATACATATATCAGGATATATAAGACAGCTACGCTATATATCGCAAAGAACAATGAAGAACGAAGCGTGGATTATCACACGATAATAGGAGTAATTCTTCATAGGTTAACCAACATATATGGTATTCGCGTTTCTTTTGTCGGTGAGTATACTTTTATTCCTTATATAATATACTTAAGATACGGAAACGCACGGGTAATAATCCCGTTATCGTATGATAACACTGTTATCTTTCAATGAAGAAACCACACAGAAATTTAATATATAAATGAACTGCCCCATTTTATTATGCAGTGCCAAAGAATTTTCAGCCATGATTGTCTAAAAAAAAACTATAGCTAAGTAATTGGGGAAAGTTAATTAGGCAAAAAATTCCGAGGAAGTAGGCATGGCATCGCTGTATAGTCTTCAGTATATGTAGGTCTTGTCTGATGATCATTTGCATTTTAAGTGAGTGAGTATGGTTTTACGCCGCTTTTAGCAATATTCAAGCAATATCACGGCGGGGGACACCAGAAATGGGCTTCACACATTGTACCCATGTCGGGAATCGAACCCGGGTCTTCGGCGTGACGAGCGAAGGCTTTAACCACTAGACTACCCGACCGCCCCTGCATTTTAAGGCAATGGTTTATCGAATCGGTAACATCACCCATCACATTAACTACTGATGTTATTCTGTCGGGGAATATTGTGCCCGAGCAGCAATCCATGCCGTCGCCATGGAGACACACAGTCAGCCTTGTTTCATACACACTGACAAGTGCCTGACATCGTCTGTTCTAACCCCAGTTGCGTCCCTTAACCGTATCAGGATACGTGGCTTCGAGACCCTAATTCCTACCGACTTTGATTATTACCCTTGTTTTGTAACACGGTAACCGTATTCGTGCGTGCTGATATAATGTAAACGACCTGGGCCCCGTTCCCCAAAGCTAACTTAGCGCTAAGGTGATCGTAAGTCCCACACTTTAACATAGGTTTCCGATCATCGTAGCACTAAGATCGCTTTGAGGAACGGGGCCCTGCATCGTTTGGGTCGTCCGGTTCAAGATGACGGGCTGTAATATAACTGAAATAGTGTTCAAAGCGGCAATAAGTCCAACTTACTCAAGAACTAATCCTACGAAGTCCATTATCTTTGATACTCTTATAGACGTAGTTGTATTACTAAAGTGTAAATATTCTGAGAATCCTCTGATAATTGATGGAATTTAAAAAGGAAATATGCATATTTGTTACGCATTATCAAATAGAGGGCACGAGTGGCCCAGCCGTCTTAGGCGCCACAATTCGCTGTGCAGAGTTGCGTCCTTTGGGAACGACCCAAACCTACGATTGTGTCGAATCCCGGTTCCCGATTATGTTTCTTGGTTTCTCAGCACCATATCCGTGCTCGTGGGTTTCATGGAAGTGGTAAACGTCTGAAACCTCTCTTCGGGCTTTCCTTCGACATTAAGCTGACACACCGTGATATAACTTGAATACTTATAGAGGCATTAAATCAACTCACTCACTCACTTGACGTGTTTACGCACTTCATGGTATGGAAATGGTATTCCTTATCAACCAAAGTTTAGATACACATTTTTTAATCAAACGATAATTATTTGTATCTAATATTTCCAGACACCGTTACTAGGAAAAATGTGGACAACTTGACCTCTGATGAGATTCTTGCCCTGGAGCAAGCAATGCACGACATCCAAGGGGATGAAGGCAGCATGGGATACCAAGCCATTGCTGCCTATCACGGCGCGCCAGCAGGCTGTGTTGACGGTCACGGCCGCAAGGTGGCGTGTTGTCTCCACGGTATGCCCTCGTTTCCGTTGTGGCATCGTCTGTACGTCGTGCAGATGGAGCGGGCGTTGATGAGGCATAAGTCCACGGTGAGCATCCCGTACTGGGACTGGACGCAGCAGCTGACTCATCTCCCTGATCTGGTGTCCGACCCCTTGTATGTGGACCCTGAAGGCGGAAAGGTAAGGTGGAATATATCTCAGTAATGTCAACAAATGAATGTGCTGAGGTATGATGGGGTTTAACGTCGCGTTCAAGCTCAAGGCAGTTTTATAGCGACGTCATTCGCGCGTGTGGGTGCGTGCGTGTGTGTGTCTATCTGCTTGTACTAGTCAGTTGTGCTAGCCCACTGAGATATCATGCCGCAGTTTAACATGAAAACGACTAGCACAGAATACTGATACTCGAACCGACCAGTCCTTGTTTTATCCCAATAATGCCGAACACAAGGCAGGGAAATAACAAGTACCATATTTTAAGAAAAATGAATGAATTGATGCATTGATAAATTTTCTCTGTTCTACTGATACAAACAGGTCCTTAGACCTTGTAATTCGTGCCTTGTGAGGCTATGTGAACTTCGACTAACTGCTACCGTTTGATTAATACACATCGTAAGATTTGAGCTAGCTTTTCGTGTTGTTCTTTCGCGAAGAATACAGTTATATTCCAGCTATTGTAAAGAGATGATCTCTCAATTTCACCAACAACTAGTAGAACTGCAAATGACCACAGAGCATCTCTCCGTTTAAATATTGATTTCAATATATATTTCATAGTCAATGGTTTTTCCATGCGTCTGTTCACACAGACATTATGGAATGTGTAAAGCGGGATTTCACGAGCAGAAAGTGGATGTAGACCCCGATACTGAAGGTCCGGTGCTGTACACATGCACCTTGCTATTGCTTTTGACCTCAGAGGAACGATTTATCAATGCGAGTTAACACGTTAGAAAGAATTAATTTAGGCGAAATATTTGTGTGTAACAATATAATCTTTCGGGGATCATGACGGCCACCTCTGTATGGTAACTCGGATTATGAAGAGAGTGAATAGTTACCTGACATGCAAGTGAGGTCACGTCAAACAGTGTGTCATGATATCCATGACTCCCGATCAGTATGGGTCAGTCTTATAGTTCGATTTTTATACCAGAAATATTAAAAGAGTATAGACGGTTGTTTAGGCGTTCCTAACCCGACTCACTACTTTCCCCCAGGCCCATGACAGCGCATGGTATCGTGGAAATATCAAGTTCGAGAACAAAAAAACTGCAAGAGCTGTTGACGACCGCCTATTCGAGAACGTTGGACCAGGAGAGCATACCCGACTCTTTGAAGGTATTCTGGATGCGCTTGAGCAGGACGAGTTCTGCAAATTTGAGATCCAGTTTGAGCTTGCGCACAACGCCATCCATTATCTAGTCGGCGGTCGACACACGTGAGTCACATTCTTTGCTAGTCTTGAGTGAAGTCTCCGAGTCTGACCTCTCCCCTTACCAAGTCCACAAAGGGACCATGTGAGAAATACCTGCAAATTTCTATTTTAGTAAGTAATTCTTTGATGTAGCCATCCGACTCTCTCGACAAAGAAAGTTCAACGCATGCCATTTTTTCCATGACGACAATAATAAGCATGCGTGTAGGAAACTTTGCTAGTCTTGAGTGAAATCGCCGAGTCTGACCTCTCCTCTTACCAAGTCCAAATAAGGACTATATGGGATATACCTGCAAGTTTCTATTTTAGTAAGTAATTCTTTGATGTAGCCATCAGACTCTCTCGACAAAGAAAGTTCAACGCATGCCAGTTTTTCCAAGACGACAATAATAAGCATGCGTGCAGGAAACAATATTCAAGCATATAGATTATACGGGTGTTTAGTTATTTCTCAAACTGCATTGATCGAAGTCCACGCTATCAGCAACTGTTTCACTAGCCCCAAGAACAATACCATTAGTTATCAAAATACACATTGGCAATCCCGTTGAAGCCTATACATCAATTAACCCTAAATTCTATTGTGTCTCGTTTTTAAGCCGCAAAACGGTAAATCTCCATTATGTTCTCAGTTGATGTTGGTGCTCATTTCAGGTACTCCATGTCTCATCTGGAGTACACATCCTACGACCCCATCTTCTTCCTCCATCACTCCAACACAGACCGTATCTTCGCCATCTGGCAGCGTCTTCAGCAACTTAGAGGAAAGGACCCCAACTCCGCTGACTGTGCACACAACCTCATCCACAAGTCAATGGAACCATTCCATCGGGAATCGAACCCGCTCGACCTTACCAGAGAAAACTCCAAACCAGTGGACACCTTTGATTACGCTCACCTGGGCTACCAGTACGTATGGTTATAGTAATGAGAGCGTTTAGTATTCACGCCGGTTTGAGCAGTATCATAGTTATTTTACGGGGGAAAGCCCGGAGTGGCACGGGTCTCAGACGGTTAGCACTTTGGTGAAACCCACGAGGATGGGTATGCTTATGAAAAAGATAATCAGGTTATAGTAGGGATTCACACCCACGAGCACAGGTGTCTGGAACGTCAAGGGACGCAACTCTGCAGAACGAATTGCGCTGCGTCAGACGAATGTGCCACCCGTCGTTTGAAACAGAGTAGCATGTTCTTAATGAGTGCCGTGTCACCTAAACATGGTCAGGGTTAATTTGGGATTCGAACTCTACAGCAGAGAGACCACTGCACCGATGATGCCTGACAAAAATGTTCAGGCCCTGCTAAAGTCAAGCTACTGTGTCTCATAGCTTTTTCACTATCGATTGTGAAATGATGGAATACTTCTTCCTCTAAGCTCTCATGGGTACAGTGTGTAGCCCAGTGTGTAGCCCGTGATATTTATGGAATATTGCGGAGTCAAACAATACACACTCACTCACTCACTCACTCTAAGTTTGGAGGGGCAGATACTCCGTTATTTCGAGCAAGGAGAAGGCACTAGACGGCTTTTTATCATGAAGCTATAATCTTTATGATATATATAGTCACTTTCTTTATTGTATAATATGGCAGGATCTTGGTTTGTCGGTGTTCAACACATGTGCCTTGTATCCTTCCGAACCTAAGGTATCAGAATGTTAAACAGTATAATATGTATAATCATTCTATGACTATTCTATTACACAGCTGGACATTAAAGACAAACAGTCATTCACCAGACATTTCATCTTGTTGCAGATCTGATAGGGAATGTCCTCTTTTCTAAGTTAAACAGTTCGTTAACCAACGATTCATTTTCCAGATATGATGACTTGACCCTGAATGGCATGACACCCGAGGAACTCAACTCCTACCTGCATGAACGATCAGGCAAGGAGAGGGTCTTCGCAAGCTTCCGACTCTCAGGCTTTGGCGGCTCTGCAAACGTGGTTGTCTATGCGTGCCGTCCTGCCCACGACGAGGTAGCTGTCGACCAGTGCATCAAGGCCGGAGACTTCTTTGTATTGGGCGGGCCCACCGAGATGCCCTGGAGGTTTTACAGAGCGTTCCACTACGATGTCACTGACGTCGTCTCCGAGATCGACCACGACGGCCATGGTCACTATTATGTGAAGGCAGCATTATTTAGTGTAAATGGAAGCGCTCTTCCAAGTGATCTTCTGCCTCAACCCACTATTGCACACAGGCCAGCCCGTGGACATATTGATGGTAAATGTTCATTTTATACATATCTGTGGTTGAGTATGGTCTTAGTAAGTGTTCTTGGTTTAATCCCACTTTGAATAGCGGTTCAATTACTTCAGGGTGTGTCAGCTTTGATGTGGGAGAAAAGCCCGAACTAATGCAGGTCTCAGAAGTTTACCACTTACGTGAACCGCACGAGCACAGGTATGGTGCGACTAATCTAGAAACCTTAGACCACTTCTACCTATGTCCCATATTATATTTAACATAATAAGAGTATTTAGGTCATACTATGGGCGGTTTGAGGAAGGAAATATCAAAATGATGTTGGTCGTAGCTGCTTTGAAATAGAATAGCTTGTTCAGGATGAGATCTAGTAAAAGAAAATCACTGAAAGGGTTTAATTGGGATTCGAACTCATAGAAGAGGGACACACAATTTGACCACAGGGCTACCCGTCAACGCGATTATGCCTGACGCCATATATCAGATCGTTGGCATATTTGTAGGCTAAACATTTTGGGAGACTAGTTCCTTCAGAGAGCCATGCGTGGTATAAGGTTTGATGTGGCTTTGAACAACCTTCCTGCATTGAACCAGTGTGTGGGAGGGTAATGAACGCAGGTGAATGTAGTTTGCTACGAATACATCACAGTCGGGATCAGTAGTCCATTAGTAGGCATGAATTTCGGCTTATGGCACAATAAACGCAAATAGTGCACAGTTAGTAATATACCGTTGTAGGTGTAAAAAACACGAATTTGACTGACTTGTATTTATTATTACAGAGCCCCCAGCACATGTTTCCCATGCCAACCTCGCCGTGAGGAAGGACATCAACCATCTGACACGTGAGGAGGTGTATGAGCTTCGTAGAGCTATGGAGAAATTCCAGAATGATAAGTCAGTTGATGGTTACCAGGCTACGGTGGAGTATCATGGCCTACCTGCTCGCTGCCCATTCCCTGAGGCCATAAACAGGATCGCCTGTTGCATCCATGGCATGGCAACATTCCCCCACTGGCACAGACTGTTCGTTACCCAAGTCGAAGATGCTTTGATCAGACGAGGATCTCCTATTGGTGTTCCTTACTGGGATTGGACTCAGCCCATGGCTCATCTCCCTGGCCTAGCTGACAATGAGACCTATCAAGATCCCATTAGTGGAGAAAGCAGACACAATCCCTTCCACGATGCCGCAGTTGCCTTTGAAAATGGGCGCACAGAGCGTCACACTGATGCTAGATTGTTTGAACAACCCCACTTCGGCAAACATACACGTCTTTTCGACAGTATGGTTTATGCCTTTGAGCAGGATGACTTCTGTGATTTTGAAGTTCAGTTTGAGATGACCCATAATAATATTCACGCCTGGATTGGTGGAGGTGAAAAGTATTCCATGTCCTCACTCCACTACACCGCCTTCGATCCCATCTTCTACCTTCATCACTCAAACACTGACCGTCTCTGGGCAATCTGGCAAGCATTGCAGATTAGAAGAAATAGACCCTATAAGGCACACTGTGCTTGGTCTGAGGAACGTCAGCCCCTAAAACCATTCGCTTTCAGTTCCCCACTAAACAACAATGCAAAAACCTACAAAAACTCAATTCCTACTAACGTATATGATTACGAAGGAGTTCTTGGGTATGCTTACGATGACCTCAACTTCGGAGGCATGGACTTGGGTGAGCTAGAAGAGTACATTGACAAACAGAAGCAGACAGACAGGACTTATGCTGGGTTCTTTTTGTCACATATTGGCACATCAGCGAATGTTGACATCTATATAAACCATGCAGGAGAAGAATCCCATGTAGGCACATTTGCTGTCCTTGGCGGAGAGAAGGAAATGAAATGGGGATTTGACCGTATGTACAGATATGAGATCACAGATGAACTGAAGCAGCTTAATATTCACGCATATGATGGTTTTGACATCACTGTCAAAGTTACTGATGTTGATGGCACTGAACTATCCTCTGACCTCATCCCACCTGTGGCTCTTATCTTCGAACACAGTCAAAGTAAGTAGCTACATATTTATACTATTCTACAAATCAATTCACTCCTGAATTTAATCATGTTTTGCTTGATTGAAAACCAATTTGTACATTTGTGTCATCACATTATACATCTCAAGGAGTGGTTGCTGCTACCGGTTGGGTGGGACATGCTTTTGCAAACACCTTGTGTCATCTCTGATTTTCAGTGATACATTCATATAATTTTCACTGACAGTTTGCCTTTTATGCCCAATGGAATCTGTTTTAAGAAATAACCGATACTGGTTGTTCTCTGGCACTGACGTTTTATATGTATTGAATTTAAAGTTGGAAATGTAAGCTATCTCTTATTATTTTGAATGAAACAGGATGCTACATATCCCCTGACCATTTATAAGTCCACTTATTCATTTTTCTCTGATAACTTTATACAATTAAATCTGGTTTCTAATTTTTGTTTATTTATCTCCCCAGTTGACCATCATGATCATCGCCATGACACGATCATTAGGAAGAATGTTGATAATCTTACACCCGAGGAAGTTAATTCTCTCAGGAGGGCAATGGGCGAGCTGCAGTCAGACAAAACTGCTGGCGGATTCCAACAGATTGCTGCTTTTCATGGGGAGCCTAAATGGTGCCCAAGTCCTGATGCTGAAAAGAAGTTCTCCTGCTGTGTGCATGGCATGGCTGTCTTCCCTCACTGGCACAGACTGCTCACTGTGCAAGGCGAAAATGCACTGAGGAAGCATGGATATGTTGGAGCTCTTCCCTACTGGGACTGGAGTAGGCCCCTATCACACCTCCCTGCTTTAGTTAGTGATCCAAACTACACAGATGCCATATCCAACACGGACACCCGGAACCCCTGGTTCAGTGGCCATATCGATTCAGTCGGTGCAGACACAACAAGAAGCATCCGTCATGAACTGTATGAAGCTCCTGGATTTGGCCATTACACCGGGGCTGCTAAGCAAGTGCTCTTGGCTTTGGAGCAGGACGACTTCTGCAACTTTGAAATCCAGTTTGAGATTGCTCACAATTTCATCCACGCTCTTGTTGGGGGAAGCGATCCATATGGTATGGCATCACTCCGTTACACAACTTATGATCCACTTTTCTACCTCCATCACTCTAACACTGACAGACTTTGGGCTATATGGCAAGCTCTTCAAAAGCACAGAGGAAAACCTTACAATTCCGCCAACTGCGCTATTGCCTCCATGAGAAAACCTCTACAACCGTTCGGCCTTACTGAGGAGATCAACCCGGATGATGAGACAAGACAACATGCTGTTCCTTTCAGAGTCTTTGACTACAAGAACAACTTCAAGTATGAATATGATACCCTTGACTTCAATGGACTCTCAATTTCCCAGCTGGACCGTGAACTGTCACGGAGACAGTCTCATGACAGAGTCTTCGCTGGATTTTTGCTGCATGGTATCAAACAGTCTGCACTGGTGAAGTTCTTTATCTGCCGATCAGATGATGACTGTGACCACTATGCTGGAGAGTTCTATATCCTTGGTGATGAAGCTGAAATGCCATGGGGATATGATCGTCTTTACAAATATGAGATCACTGAACAACTTACAGCCCTGGATCTACACATTGGAGACAGATTCTTCATTAGATACGAAGCGTTTGATCTTCATGCAAGCAGCCTTGGAAGCAACATCTTCCCCAAACCATCTGTCATACATGACACAGGGGCAGGTGAGCGAATTAATAATACAAATGTAATTTACCCCCATCCAAATTGTTGTCTAAGATACATTAAATACTACTATTTTTTTCTATTTAACATCATTATTAGTTTGAAGACACGTTTAGCAATATTCCAGCAATCTCACAGCAGCACACTCCAGAAATTGGCCTATTTATTTGTACCCAAGTGATGATGACTTCAGAATGACTAGCAAATGCTTTGATCACTAGGCTATTACATCTCCTATTTTATTTTATTTTATTTTTTATTATTATTATTTATTTATTTATTTTTTATTATTATTATTATTATTATCTGTCTGTAGTGATTAATATGTAAATAAAATATCAATTGCTGGTATAGGTTTTATCTGGTAATGCAAGCAGTTAAATCCTCATGCAACTGTTTCAGGTCACCATCAGGCTGGCGAGTACATAGAGGTTGTAACTGCTGCAAGTCACATCAGAAAGAATTTGAAAGACCTATCCGAGGGAGAAGTAGAGAGCTTAAGATCTGCCTTCCTACAGCTTCAAAACGATGGTGTCTATGAAAATATTGCCAAGTTCCACGGCAAGCCTGGGTTGTGTGATGACAATGGTCGCAAAGTTGCTTGCTGCGTGCATGGCATGCCAACCTTTCCTCAGTGGCATAGGCTCTATGTCCTCCAGGTTGAGAATGCTTTGCTAGAGAGGGGATCCGCTGTGTCTGTGCCTTATTGGGACTGGACTGAAGCATTTGACAAACTTCCTTCTTTGATCGCTGATGCCACCTATTTCAATTCCCGCAAACAATCGTTCAATCCTAACCCATTCTTCAGAGGTAAAATCGGTTTTGAGAATGCTGTAACAACACGCGATCCTCAGCCTGAGCTGTACCAAAACAGATACTATTATCAAAACGTCATGTTGGCTCTGGAACAGGACAACTACTGCGACTTTGAGATACAATTTGAGATGGTTCACAACGTTCTCCATGCTTGGCTGGGTGGAAGAGCTACTTACTCAATTTCTTCTCTCGACTATTCGGCATTTGACCCAGTATTCTTCCTTCATCATGCAAACACTGACAGATTGTGGGCAATCTGGCAGGAGCTACAGAGGTACAGAAAGAAGCCATACAATGAAGCTGATTGTGCCATTAACCTGATGCGTAAACCTCTGCGTCCTTTCGACAACCCTGACCTGAATCATGATCCAATGACCTTCAAATACTCCAGACCAGCTGATGGCTTTGACTATCAGAACCATTTCGGATACAAGTATGACAACCTTGAGTTCAATCATTTCAGTATTCCAAGGCTCGAGGAAATTATTCAAAGAAGACAACGTAAAGATCGTGTGTTTGCAGCGTTCCTCCTTCACAACATTGGTACATCTGCAACTGTCGAGATTTTTGTTTGTGTGACAACCGACAGAGGTGAGCAAAACTGTGAAAACAAAGCTGGATCATTTGCTGTACTCGGGGGAGAAACAGAGATGGCATTCAATTTTGACAGGCTCTACAAGTTTGAGATAAGTGACACTGTTAGGGACCTTGGCCTGCAGCTGGACAGCCACGATTTTGACCTTAACGTCAAGATCCAGGGAGTGAATGGATCCTACCTTGATGCCCACATCCTGCCAGAGCCATCCTTGATTTTTGAACCCGGTTCAGGTAAGGGATCATCGTTTTAGACAAAGTGCAGAGAAATAAAGACAATTAAGCTGAAACATGAGACAAGTTTATTTGTTTAAAGTGCATTATAATCAGAAGTTGATTACAATAACATTGAAGCTGCAGTTATTTGTAGGCCTTCAGAGAACAGTTGAACTGTTAAGTTGATACCAAAGTAATGTTAATTGCAATACCAACTTTTTTTAATATTTTAGGTTCTCATCTGCGGGCAGATGGCCAAATGGAAGAGATTCTTGTTAGAAAAGAAGTGAACAGTCTGACAGTCAGGGAGACTGCATCTCTGATCCATGCTCTACGGCGTATGCAGGAGGACCATTCACCTGATGGGTTTCAGGCCATTGCTTCTTTCCATGCCCTGCCACCACTCTGCCCTTCACCATCTGCCGCCCACCGGTATGCATGCTGTGTCCATGGTATGGCTACATTTCCCCAATGGCACAGACTCTACACTGTACAGTTCCAGGATGCATTGAGAAGGCACGGAGCTAGGACAGGCGTACCTTATTGGGATTGGCTGCGACCCCAGAGTCAACTGCCAGAGCTTGTTACCATGGAGACATACCATGATCCCTGGAGTAATAAAGACCTTCCAAATCCTTTCTACAGAGCAAATATTGAGTTTGAAGGAGAAGGCATTACAACCCACAGACAAATAACACCAGAGAAACTCTTTGTCAAAGGCGGGCACATCTTTGATAACTGGTTTTTCAAACAAGCCATCCTAGCGCTAGAGCAGGAGAATTACTGTGACTTTGAGATTCAGTTTGAGATTCTTCACAATGGTGTTCACACCTGGGTTGGAGGCAATGAAACATACTCTCTTGGACATCTTCATTACGCATCATATGACCCTCTCTTCTACCTCCACCACTCCCAGACAGACCGTATCTGGGCAATCTGGCAAGAACTCCAGATACAGAGAGGTCTCTCAGGAGATGAGGCTCACTGTGCCCTCGAGCAAATGAGAGAACCACTGAAGCCTTTCAGCTTCGGCGCTCCTTACAACTTGAACCAACTAACCTATGATTTCTCCAGACCAGAAGATACGTTTGACTACAAGAAGTTTGGTTATGAGTATGACAATCTGGAATTTCTGGGCATGTCAATTTCTGAACTGGATCAATACATTATTGAACATCAAGAAGATGATAGAGTCCTTGCTGGATTTTTGTTAAGTGGATTTGGAGATTCTGCATCAGTAGATTTCCAGGTATGCAGACCTGACTCCACGTGTCAGGATGCTGGGTACTTCACTGTTCTTGGTGGCAGTGCCGAGATGGCGTGGACCTTTGACAGGCTGTTCAAATATGACATTACTGATACTCTAGAGAAAATGCACCTTAGATATGATGATCCTTTCACAATCTCTCACACTCTGACTGCCAACAATGGAACAGTTCTAAGAAGTAGTCTGATCCCAACACCAAGTGTCATCTTCCAGCGTGGACACCGTGAGTAATGTAACTGTACAGTAACAATCATATACTACTATGCAGTAACAATATGTAATAATAATTTAATTGTACTGTTGATATAGACATGTAAATTAACGCAATAATTGAGTGAGATGAATTATTAAAAGCCTTCAGGGGCGGTCAGGTAGCCTAGTGGTTAAAGCGTTTGCTCATCACACTGAAAAACGGGGTCGATTCCTGACATGGGTACAACGTGTGAAGCACATTTCTGGTGTCCCCCGCCGTGATATTGCTGGAATATTGCTAAAAGCGGCGTAAAACCATACTTACTCACTCACTTAAAAGCCTTCAGCTTCATGTGAGTGATTTCATATAGCGTCGCATCGACGATATTCCCATAAAATAGTTGAGTGGCTGATGGAATGTAAATTGATTTTGGAATATATCTTCATAGGTGACATAAATACCAAAATCATGTCACCTAACCGTGTCCGCCATGAGTTGACTCATCTGTCCGCGAGGGATCTGTCTAGTCTGAAATCTGCCCTGAGAGACCTACAAAATGATGATGGCCCCAATGGCTACCAGGCGCTGGCAGCTTTCCACGGTCTACCAGCAGGTTGTCATGATAGTCAAGGACATGAGGTGATCTTACTTATTTTGTTGAAATCATCTTAAGTATGCCTCATTGTTATGGTAATTGTTAGCTTAGAATTTAATTATCATGTTTTGATTAATCCCAAAACCTGTTTCTACATTTCTGTCTAGATTAATGGGGATTCATTGTACGACCATTTTTGGTTAGTAGAGTTCCAACATGACTAAAGGTTTAAATAGCGATATATGCAGACGAATACTTCTGACCAGGGCATTAAACAACATTTTCTTCAGGGATTTTCCTTGGTTACATATTTTTGAGGTCCAAGTCTGCAAAATGCTTCAATTATGGGTGTCCCAGGTTAGAAAATAGGAGTCCCAAACTACAAACTTGGTCCAAAAGAAATTTCGAAATTGGAATACAGTACTCTACCACAAGGCCATTATTTAAAAGTAGATATGGAGTTCGCATTTGAAACGAATATACGAGTGCTAGCCCTGGACGATTGTGAAGCGTCCGACTGTGTATTGTATTGATTACGTGCGAAATATATTTTAAGTGGTACCAAATTATAAGCATCAGCATTCATTTCAAAACATGATAGGCGTTTTGTTTTCAATGTTTAGGTGTATAGAATGCATGACTTCGCGTTCGGTAAATCCGTGTACCTAACCATTTACCTTTTAGAACCTTGACTGGACTGTATCAGTAGTTCAAACATGTATAATGTCATTTGATCCGTCTTTCTACCAGATTGCCTGCTGTATTCATGGAATGCCAACGTTCCCCCAGTGGCACAGACTGTACACCCTGCAGATGGAGCAGGCTCTCAGGCAGCATGGATCCTCCGTCGCCATTCCCTACTGGGACTGGACAAAGCCTATCTCCGAACTGCCCGATCTGTTCACCAGCCCTGAGTATTATGATCCATGGCATGATGCTGTTGTAAACAACCCATTCTCCAAAGGTTTTGTCAAATTTGCAAATACATACACGGTCAGAGATACCCAAGATTTGCTGTTCGATCTCGTTCAAAATGGAGAAACAGTTCTCTTTGACCAAACTCTTCTTGTTCTTGAACAAACCGACTACTGTGATTTTGAAGTACAATTTGAGGTTCTCCATAACGTCATCCACTACCTCGTTGGAGGACGTCAGACTTACGCCTTGTCTTCTCTTCACTATGCATCATACGACCCACTCTTCTTTATACACCACTCCTTTGTGGATAAGATTTGGGTTGTTTGGCAAGCTCTTCAAAAGAGGAGGAAACTTCCATACAAGCGAGCTGGCTGCGCTGTTAACCTCATGACGAAACCAATGAGGCCATTTGACTCCGATATGAATCATAACATCTTTACCAAGATACATGCAGTTCCAAACACACTCTATGACTACGAGAAGCTGTATTACAGCTACGATAACCTCGAACTAGGTGGAAGGAATCTAGACCAGCTGCAGGCTGAAATTGATAGAAGGAGAAGCCACGCTCGAGTTTTTGCTGGTTTCTTGCTCCATGGAATCGGAACTTCTGCTGATGTCCGGTTCTGGATCTGTAGAAACGAAAATGACTGCCACAGGGCTGGAATAATCTTCATCTTGGGTGGAGCCAAGGAAATGCCATGGTCCTTTGACAGAAACTTCAAGTTCGATATCACCAATGTCCTCAAGAAAGCCAACATCGACCCAGAGGAAGTGTTTGATGCAGAAGAACCATTTTATATCAAGGTTGAAATCCATGCTGTCAACAAGACTATGATACCATCATCTGTAATCCCAGCCCCAACCATCATCTACTCAGATGGGGAAGGTGAGAGAACCAGTAATAGCTTCTGTCGACACAGAATGTGTTCATTTAATGACCTGACTGTGGGTCGGTGGCTGATGACTTCTCCTCCACCTCCTCCGCCCGTTCCTCCTCCGAAAGGGTTAACTTCAGGTTCTCTTGCCACAATGCCAAGCAGACCTCCTGAACAGGCTGTATTTATAAGTAAGGGTTACATGACAAGAACAACACGGGGCATGCAGTGATGTAATGATTAATAATTGGCGGTTCAAACGTTTGCTGAAGATTTAAGCACTGTTGGACAATGACACGAACATGGACACGGTATCATCAAGTAGTGTTCCAAGTTTGAACACTCACCTTAATTAAATCGTCCATCCTTTTGAATGTATTTTTCTTCATATTGAAATACATCACTGTATGTTTATTGGCGTAATGGCGAGCGTTTCTTATATAGCGACAAAAATAAGTTTCTTAAATTTATCTGGTTAGATGTATCCAGTTCTTTGCGTTTATCTGTCTAATATTATCCTATATAAAAACATTGTTTAGGCTTACGTTCTCGAAAGACCGATAACTAAGTCAACTGGAACCCTCTTAAAATGTATTTTACAACCCATGGCTACAGCTGTTATCCCTTACTTTTAAACACACTATAGATGTCTAAAAGATAGCAAATGTGAGTGCCACTCTCAATTCTACTTGACAGTGGCCATCTCTGAACTAACACTTATAATTTACTTGTGACATAAGTAGGCTATATAGCAATCATTTAATGACGTCACTTGATTCCCAATAATGTCCATGTTTGGTCCCATAATGTAGACTTGTCAGACTGACACTAATACACATCTAATATTATGGTCCATATATCACCCTGTCCAGGACACGCAGTTGACAGTGCCCAGTCTGCTAACATCGCTGGCTCCGGAGTAAGGAAGGATGTCACAACCCTCACTGTATCTGAGACTGAGAACCTGAGACACGCCCTTCAAGCTGTCATCGATGACAGTGGTCCCAATGGTTACCAAGCTATAGCATCTTTCCACGGAAGTCCTGCAATGTGCGAGATGAACGGTCACAAGGTTGCGTGCTGTGCTCACGGTAATACATTCCATACTGTTCTTTGTGAAGTCAATGTGAAATAGGTTTTTTTAAAAGTAAACATAACAAGTATGTATGGATGTACGTTTATTGGGTATTTTAAGATTAAAATAATATATTTGATATATATTAAGGTCAGGTGAAATGGAGTTTAACGTCGTTTAACGATTATTGCACTTATATAGCGACGTGCATGCACATTTGTGTGTGTGTGTGTGTCTGCTTATACTAGTCCGGACTGATACCGATTTAAAGTGCTAGCCCACTGAGATACCATGCCGCAATTTAACATGAATACCCCACTCAGACACAATATACTGACTCCAAGTCGACCAGTCCTTGCTTTAGACCCTTAATGCCGAGCGCCAGACAAGTTCCATCTTTTTAAAGTCTTTTGGTATGACGCGGCTGGGGATCGAACCCCGGACCTTCCGCTCTAGGGGCAGACGCTCGACCACTAGAGGTCCGATATATATTAAGATAAAATTAATTATGTTTCAAAATTCTAGTGTGTGTGGATAAAGTGACCAGTGCATGGGTTTAAATATTCCATGGAATGATTACCTGATGTTATGATCAATACACTATAAAAAAAAACAAAAACATACACTATACACGGTATCATTACATTATCAAGATATACCTAGACACACACATATATAAATATTCAGCGTCTGTCTCATGAAAATGACATCCTTTTGTAGGTATGGCTTCTTTCCCCCACTGGCATAGACTGTATGTGAAACAGATGGAGGATGCTCTGGCTGCTCACGGATCCCATATCGGAATCCCATACTGGGACTGGACAACTGCCTTCACGGAATTACCCGCCCTTGTCACAGACTCAAATAACAATCCCTTCCACGATGTGAGTTGTCTTCTTTGACCAAGCCCTTAGAAGCTAATAATACATTTTTTCTATTTTCAATTGCCACGATCACTGAAACATAAGTAAACGAGTATATTTGTGTAAAATGAACAAATGATTAGGTTGTGGGGGAATTAACAACGCTTCATGATATACTGTCAGTACCTCGTCAAAACAATAATGCATATGGTTAAAAACATTGCTTTTTTGTCACCTCAACCCGTATATATATATTTATAATAAAATAAGTATATATATGTTTTATGGTGGCAAAAAATGAAACAAACAGAAAATGGTTATTCGATGGTGATATATTTGACACGGGTGTCATCATTGTTCTTTGGGCCTAATGTTTGCATTCTTTCGGCAACTGTTTTCAGCCTAGTATAAACGTTTTCATGATGTCTTTAATTATTTGGTCAAATCCAAAAGTGTCTACTTTCTTTTTCTCGGTAGTTAACTACTAAATATATTGCATAACCTATGTAGTGACATGTTTCTATTGTCGACTTCCATCAGGGACACATTGATCATCTAGGAGTAACCACATCCCGTTCTCCAAGAGACATGCTGTTTAACGATCCAGAACAGGGATCAGAGTCCTTTTTCTACAGACAAGTCCTCCTGGCTTTGGAACAGACCGACTACTGCCAGTTTGAGGTCCAGTTTGAGCTGACCCACAACGCTATTCACTCATGGACAGGTGGACGTAGTCCTTATGGAATGTCTACTCTGGAGTTCACTGCCTACGATCCTCTCTTCTGGCTTCACCACTCCAACACCGACAGAATCTGGGCTGTCTGGCAAGCACTACAGAAATACAGAGGTCTCCCGTACAACGAAGCACACTGCGAAATCCAGGTTCTGAAACAGCCTTTGAGACCCTTCAGCGATGCCATCAACCACAATCCTATCACAAAGGCTAATGCCAGGGCTATCGATTCATTTGATTATGAGAGGTTTAACTATCAGTACGACACTCTTAGCTTCCATGGTCATAGCATCCCTGAACTGAATGACCTTCTTGAAGCAAGGAAGAGAGAAGAGAGGACATTTGCTGCCTTCCTTCTCCGTGGAATCAAATGCAGTGCTGATGTTGTCTTTGACATCTGCCGACCCAATGGTGACTGTGTCTTTGCAGGAACATTTGCAGTCCTTGGAGGCGAACTGGAAATGCCCTGGTCCTTCGACAGACTGTTCCGCTATGATATCACCAAAGTCATGAATCAGCTTCATCTCCAATATGATTCAGATTTCAGTTTGAAGGTGAAGCTTGTCGCCACCAATGGCACTGAGCTTTCATCGGACCTCCTCAAGCCACCAACTATTGAACATGACCGTGGAAGTATGTTATTTTATTATCAAATGTGTAATTACACATGATATTTGCACTATGTACATTTTCACATATATTAATGCTGGCATATCATTAATTAGTTCGAGTGAGTGAGTAAGTATGGATTTATGCTGCTTTTAGCAATATTGCAGCAATATCACGCGGGGGACACTGGAAAATGGAATTTAATCATTGTACCCATGTGGGGAATCGAACCCGGGTCTTCGGCGTGAAGAGCCATCGCTTTAACCACTAGGCTAACCACTAGGCTACCCCACCACCCCTAATTAGTTCAAGGCTTGGTACTGTATAAGATGACGAGTATTGATATTAGTGGGTATTAGTCCAGCATTTAGTTCATGGTTTGTGGTTGTTTTAGCTTTTATATTGATGAAGATGGGTGAGTGAGTGAGTTAAAATTTTAAGTCACGTCGGCAATATTTAAGCCATATTGTGACTATCAAGGGTTAAACATAATAAACACAGTGGGACTTACATAAAAACCTGCCAACGAAGGACATTAAAATAACTAGACTTATCACAGGAATATATTTAAAACTAGTATGTAATCATAAAATGGATAGCACTATACATAACATTACATTATAAAATCGGGCTAAAGATCGCCAGCAACTTATCAAGTTAGAGAATTAAAGCTCTAATCTGACCCGAGAATGAATTAATTTTAGTTCTTCGAGCACTGATTATTAAAGTCAGCATTAATAGCGAATAGTTGAGTGTGTATGGTTAGTCGCAGTTTAGAACAGCATTTCATTTATATCATGTCATCTTAATATTGTCGTAAGTGGCGACTAACGGCATCGGGTGGTCAGGCTCGCTGACTTGATTGATACATGTCATCGTATCCCAATGGTGTAGATCGATGCTCATGATGTCAATCACTGGATTGTCAGGTCCAGACTCGATTATTTAAAGACCGCCATCATTTCGCTGGAATATTGCTGAGTGTGACGTTAAACAACAAACAAAACACCTAAATTATCGCAATTGTTAAGATAGATTATTGAACTCACACAATCTACCTTTTTCAGTGTCTAGAGGACCAGTTGAAGAAACAGAAGTCACCCACCAACATACAGATGGCCATGTACACTACCATCGTAAGGAGGTCGACTCTCTGTCCCTTGATGAAGCCAACAACTTGAAGAATGCTCTCTACAAGCTACAGAACGATCGCAGCCTCAGCGGATATGAAGCAATCTCTGGTTACCACGGATACCCAAGTCTTTGTCCTGCAGAAGGAGATGACAAATACCCATGCTGTGTCCACGGCATGGCCATCTTCCCCCACTGGCACAGACTCCTAACGATCCAACTGGAGAGAGCTCTCAAGAGCCAAGGTGCACTCCTTGGTGTACCTTACTGGGACTGGACCAAGGACCTGTCTACTCTGCCAGCATTCTTCTCCGACGCCAGCAACAACAATCCCTTCTACAAGTACCACATTACAGGTGTTGGACATGACACCGTAAGAGAGCCAAATGATCTTCTGTTCAACCAGCCCAAGTTCCATGGTTACGATTACCTTTATTACCTAGCTTTGACCACGCTGGAAGAAAATAACTACTGTGACTTTGAGGTTCAATACGAGATTCTCCACAACGCTGTCCACTCTTGGTTAGGTGGAACCCAGAAGTATTCAATGTCCACCCTGGAATACTCTGCCTTTGACCCTGTCTTCATGATCCTTCACTCAGGTCTCGACAGGCTCTGGATAATCTGGCAGGAGCTTCAGAAGCTGAGGAGGAAGCCATACAACTTTGCTAACTGTGCCCTTCATATGATGGATGAACCACTCGCCCCCTTCAGCTATCCTTCTGTCAACCAGGACGAGTTCACTCGTGCCAACTCCAAACCTTCTACAGTCTTTGACAGCCATAAATTCGGCTACCATTACGACAACCTGAATGTCAGAGGTCACAACATTCAAGAACTCAACACAATCATCAACAATTTGAGAAACACAGCCAGAATCTATGCAGGATTTGTTCTGTCCGGCATCGAGACGTCTGCTAGTGTGAAAATCTACCTCCGGACCAATGACAAAGATGAAGAAGTTGGAACTTTTACTGTCCTGGGAGGAGAAAGAGAGATGCCATGGGCCTATGAGAGAGTGTTCAAGTACGACATCACAGAGGTTGCAGAACGACTCGGATTAGGCTATGGGGACACCTTTAACTTCCGACTGGAGATCACATCCTACGATGGAGTGGAGATCACAAAGACCCTACCCAATCCTTTCATCATCTACAGACCTGCCAGTCATGATTACGATGTCCTGGTCATCCCCGTAGGAAGCAACCTCCACATCCCCCCTAAGGTCGTTGTCAAAAGAGGCACACGGATCGAGTTCCACCCAGTCGATGAATCAGTTAGCAAACCAGTTGTGGATCTTGGAAGCTACACCGCGCTCTTCAACTGTGTGGTACCACCCTTCACATACCACGGATTCGAATTGAACCACGTCTATTCTGTCAAACCTGGTGACTACTATGTAACTGGACCCACAAGGGAGCTATGCCAGAATGCAGATGTCAGGATTCATATTCATGTTGAGGATGAGTAAATAAAAAGGTGAGTGGCGACACCCTTCTGTTTATTGTGCCATAGCGTATTACAATTTAAACATTTTCACCCTTGATGTTTCTTATACATATTATAAGTATAGCTACAAATTTGGGTCACATAATGATATTTAGGTATTTCATATCAGGGTTATTGAATGAATCTATTTTTGAAATGCAATGGAGATCGAAGGTTGAAGAGGTCTGAGGTATTTCATGCTTCTTGTAGGAGTGAGTGAGTGAGTGAGTTGCGTTTAACGCCGCTTTTAACAGTATTCCAGTCATATCGCGGCGTGTCAGCTTAATGTGGGAGGAAAGCCCGAAGTGATGCAGGTCTCAGACGTTTACCACTTCGGTGAAACCCACGAGCACGGGTATGGTGCTGACAAACCTAGAAACATAACCGGGGTGAACCAGGATTCGAACCCACAATCATAGGTTTCTGGCGTGCCAAAGGGACGCAACTCTGCACAGCGAATCGCGGCGCCTTAGACGACTGGGCCACCCGTGCCCCCTTCTTGTAGGAACAAGCAATAATATTGGTCGGAAGGTTACAACCATACCAACACCATGTGGTCTTTATTTGTGTTTTTAACGATGTTTTGTCTTGTTCAGACTTGGTTATTTACAAGCAGCACTGATATAACTTGTGGACTCCAGCTAAAAACAAAATTCACTGTCTTTGTTAATCTTGTGAGATATGAGTGGGAATTATATCTCAATAAAAGGCGACAAAAGCATTTTTACAAAAGTGTTCACTGAAAGAAAACATGGGAACATATGGTACGAGTCAAAATGGGGAAATGCACCAGGCATGTTTTAACTAATATTGAAATGTCTTCCACATGTCTACCATAAATCTCTTTGAAAGTTTTACAAAGGCCTTGACTAAAGAATTTGTGTTATAAATATGAACAAAGTAGGACAAATATAGCTTTTCATTTTAGGTATCCTGGTCTCAACATCTCCACATATCAGCATCTGATGGTTTCAAGGGACATAGTGGTCCTTGTCTGGCAGTCCATTTCAATTCAACATCAAAAACAACAGCAGCATTTCTTTACAATGTGTTTCAAAAGTGTTGGTGAAATATTGAAATGTGCTAAGGACTGAATTATTGTACATACATAACTTATTGTATAGAGATATTCAATAAATAAATGTCAAAATGTAAATTGCTTGTTGGTTGTCATTCAAATTAAGATACTCATGGTGTCAATCCCTGGATTATCTTGTCCAGGCTTGATTAATTACAGACCGCCAATCTTTTGCTGGAATATTGCCGAGCGCAGTATATGTCACTTATATTATTGCCGGGAATAGGATTTGTGAAGCTGGCTGTGTATATGAAAAGCCAGGATGCTTCTGGATCTTCAAAAAATCCAAGTACCCAGTGCTTGTTGCATGAACCAATCAAGATGAGGATCAGGAGATCACAATGTGTGACCTGGCCGATTGTGTGTCATGTCCAGGTGTGAGCATTGCTCATGGTACATGTTTGCCTATCCCTGATGAAATTATTTCAAGTGCTGATTATACGGATGTAATATTGCTTACTGTAGCATGAAACAACGTACACCCACCTATAATGTAAGACTTCTCTATATGGCCAAGGAGAAATACTTCCAAAGTCAACAACATCACTACCAAGCAGATGAGAGGCAACAGTATCACAACATTTCCATCATATCATAGCATGTAATCATTATGTGAGAGGAAAGACTGAGTGAGTTTAATGTGGCTTTGAACAGTATTCCAGTTGTATTACAGCATGTCAGCTTCATAACACAGTGAATAGAAGACCCTAAGGCAACTGGGTCACCCATGCCCCTGGGACGAAAGCCCCATTTGATGCAGGACATACTAATTGGAGGTGAGGTGAGGTGAGGTGAGGTGAGGTGAAATTGGGTTTAACGCCAAAATTATTGCACTTACATAGCGACGTGCATGCACATACGTGTGTGTGTGTGTGTGTGTGTGTGTGTGTGTGTGTGTCTGTCTGTCTGTGTGTCTGTACTAGTCCAGACTGATGCCGATTTATAGTGCTAGCTCACTGAGATACCATCGCTGTGCAGAGTTGCGTCCCTTGGGTATGCCAGAAACCTATGATTGTGGGTTCGAATCCCGGTTCGCCCCAATTATGTTTCTAGGTTTGTCAGCACCATACCCGTGCTCGTGGGTTTCACCGAAGTGGTAAACGTCTGAGACATGCATCACTTCGGGCTTTCCTCCCACATCAAGCTGACACGCCGTGATATAACTGGAATACTGTTAAAAGCGGCGTTAAACCCAACTCACTCACTCACTGAGATACAATGCCGCAGTTTAACATGAATACCCCACTCAGACACCGTATACTGACTCCGATCAGACCAGTCCTTGTTTTTGCCCCTTACTGCCGAGCACCAGACAGTGTAACAAGATGTACCATCTTTTAATGTCTGTTGGTATGACGCAGCCGGGGATCGAAGCCCGGACCTTCCTCTCTCCAAGCATACGCTCTACTTCTAGACCAATACTGATTGGAAAAACCCACAAGCCTCAAATCATACTGACAATCCAAGGATCACTGCCAGCTTGAAATTGGAAATGATGAGAACAACCATGGACAAAGGATTGTTTTATTCATAATATTTAAGACTCTTCATGACATAGCAGACTAAGGAACAAAGCCTCCCATACACCCATACAATGTATTATGTTCTTCATGAAACAAACAGAAGATAGAACACCTCATAATATACATTCAAATACAGGAAGGAATACTCAAACACTTCAAGACATGCACATCCTAAAATGACTTTTGAAGCAATAAATACTTAATTGATTAATCATCTTCAGAAAAACTAAAGACATTAAATTTGTTAAATCAATACATTTTGAAATACACCTGTATTGGGAGTTTCAAGCATGCAAGGAACTTGAGTACACTGAAGTGTAGGATTGTTAAGGGGAACTGACCCATGTAGCTCACCTGGATATATGTTCTAGAAACATTACATTTGCCTGAGTGATAACCATTATTTTTTCATCCAGGTAATCTAATGAAACAATACAAACAAATAAAAAGACACTTCTTAAAGATGTCAGACAAAGGTCAATAGAGATGCATTTAAGATAGACTTGATAAGGAACACAATTACATTAGTTTATTCAAATCAAGTTCAGTTCTCAGTTCGGTGAAGACTCATGGCATTTGAAAGCCTGAAGAAATAACATAAGCTCTGAAAAAAAACATCTGCATCACTTAAAAGTATTCATAAAATATTTTTGCTGTACATTTGAAATTATCACTGTGGACAGGAAAGTTCATGAAACAAAAAAGAATAAGTGCTGTAAATATTCAAGGTCCAGAAGTAGATATTTTGCAATAGAACGTGGTAATAGCCCTTATTGGTTGGTCGCATTGATGATAATAAATATTCATAAAGTATATCTGATTTTGGAGAAAAAAATTGATCATTAAAGAAATGTAAGTACATCCAAGAAGATCATGCTGACACAACAAGACATGAGAAGCTGAGTCATCAAATTCAACACATAGGATTACATTCAGTGGTTAAGTTTGTAAATAGAGAGGAAACCAATGAGCACAATGAGTAATGTGAATACATCAGAATATTATTGTCTTAATTTGGGTGGAACAAATGGATGAAAACACAAGAACTGATGGGCCTAAAGAACACAGGGTTATGAGGTATGATTTCAACAAAACATAATGTGTTTCTACTATTAACCATGTTAAGACAAGGACGTCGAGAGATAAATGGCATGAATATCATCCAAATATTGCCAGTTGCTTCATAGCTTCACAACAATTTTGAATTGCATACCATGACAGAAGAAATTGGAAAGTGGTTATATGGGAGAACATGGGACATGGTTGTAATGAACTAATGACATATATTCCATAGGCTTCATCAAACAAATATTTGTTCTCTGAAGCCCATTTTGTTTACACAAACATGAAAACTTCATTTGATATTTAGTATATATAGCTGCTAATCAATCTCATTAAAATAAGATCTTAGTTCTCGTTATCACTAAACAAAGATCTGAAGACATCTCATTACGGATCACGTCAGAACGACCTTTCATTTGACAAATCAAAACATCGCTTACCAGATCATAAAAGTGACAGTTGGAATGTGTTTTCTAATCACGCAATCTCGAAAACGTTAACACGGGGTATTCCAAACGAAAAATGATCGTCTATCCCTCACTTCTGTGGGTTAACATTTGAACGGAGGAGGCGTTTCACAATACGTAGGAAGCACTGCCATAAAATCAGTTTTCAAAATTTTAATCAAGAACTGTTTCAACATATTTTTCAAGCGTAGTCTGAAATGGAAGTCGCCAGGATGCAACGAGTGCCAGGTTGCAAGCTCGAGAAAACTGCTTTCTAATTGCCTGATGTCGACTTCTTGTTAGTCATTTCAGTGGTCGGTCAAAGTTTGCGAAAGGTTGTTCTGACGTGACCCGTAATGGAATGTCCTCAGATCTTTGTATAGCGGCAGCGAGAACTTAGATCTGATTATGATGAGATTACTACTTAATAAATGTCCTTATTGGATGGCATTGATGGCATGAAGGTCTATCACATTAATTCACTCTCATAATCTATAACATTGTTTAATCATGTTAATAGTAAGGGGATAAAATATGAATATTTTCATTGACATATAAAAGCAACTAATCTTCAAAATAAAAAATTGTAAGTTTAATTTCTTTTCCATTAATTTGTCCTCTTTTAGCACAAGAACAAATAATTTATTTGTATTAGCCATACATATACTCACTCATTCAACTTTCCATCAAACAACGATATGTTAACATTCAGTGTATCAATGCAGTATGTACAAATGATTATCAAAAATCAATTCTTCACAATAAATATCATGAAAGCTTAATCATCTTAAGTTGTTCTCATCAACTACTGAATTCACAGATTTCTTTAGGCCAAAGCAAAAAACAAACAAAATTGTAAAAACAATCTTTTACTATCTCTTAAAATTATTGTCAGTCTGACAAAACATGCAAAATATCAAATAAGTGACACAGCTGGGAGTTTCTCTGTATATTGAGCTTCTTAGATTAACTAAAATTACTTAACTCACTTGCACCTGTTGCAAGAAGAAACAAAAGACTGTTCGAAAATTGAAGTAAGTTTATTGTTTGTTGATACCCAAACTAAACATAATGAGGTGTGGGGAACCCTGAACACATCAACTGAAAATGACAAATTATATCACAAACATAAAGATGCACCATTTAATACTAACAAATGGTTTTTGAGAAATGGCTCAGTTATTCTGAACATAATAGGTAATAGAAACTTAATAATTAGATGTTCAACCCTGGCTGCCCCATTACGAGACGCTGCACCTCCCATCTGGTTATTGTCCCCCACTGATGATGATATATGATACATACACACATCACATCACTCAACCAAACGATTCACGGCATGGAACCTGTCTACAATTAATGTACACAGATGGCATGAGCTGTTTGTTTAAAAAAGTAATAAATAATGCCTGCAGCATGACAACTGGAAGAAAATCTAATCGTTTATTTATTGTGGCATTATGTCTGAAGACAACAAAAGGTTTTTTCACAAAATCTGAAAATGTACTGAGGGTGCAGCATCACAACCAAACTAAACCTGTAGAATTCACAAACAGGAACAAACACTAGGCCTGACTCTTTCATATTGGAAGTAAACCCTTACAAATCTCTGTAGTGTGGACTTTGTTTATGTGAAAGTGTAGCTTGTAATACCGTATTCGACGTAATAAGTGCCCACGGCGATATTTGCTAATAAATGGGCTAGTGAACAATCCCAATTTGCACCCCTTCCAATTGATCAATGTACACAAGACTTATTTATTCGTATATAATACTCACTCGTGTGTTATATGCACCCCTTAATTATGGGCAATTAAATTCTGGATAAATATATCTGTCGTGTATAATACACACAGACTTTTATTTTGTATCATTTCAGGCTGTCAGTATAAACCATGAAATTTACAATCTTTCAACTCTGTTTTTTCTTCTCCAAAATTTTATTCAAATAAGAGCCCCCCTATTTCAAATATTGAGAGCGCCCTTGGCGCTTATTACGTCGAATACGGTAGTTAGACTTAATGAAACCTAAACACCTTTAAATGGT